GTAATTCTCCAATGTTTTAGACACATTCAGAATATATCTCTTTGATTGTATTAGTGAATGCGTTCTTAGAAATATTGCAATGATGTAGTTAAGCTGAACAAAGGGCTAGAAACTAGTTTCCAATATTCTTGAGATTTATTGAACAAATAATAATTGAATGCTGTATGTAAACACCAGAACTTAGAGGGAATTAGCTGAAATGAAATCTAAAGCAAAATATGAGTGTGGAGTAATGACATTTATTACTTGTCTGGTGTTAACATTTCACCACTTGCAGCCAAATATTTATTGACAAAAAGGACAAATGATGGATTAAGTAGAAAACTTCAGTGATCATTCATTCTATCAAACCTGCATATGAAACCAAAGATCACCTACTTATATATTTTCATTTATGGAAGAATAATTGTATCACTTATTTAGAGGCAAAGGTTTTAGAGAGTAAATCTCTGAAATAATATATTTTAAATATAAGATTCTTAAAAATGTTTACTAAAAACTAAGGTACAATTATTTTTCAAAAATTTTTAAATATTTCTCAACAAAAGATTTTTTTCTTGTTAGTGAGTCTCTCTTTGTTTAACTGTAGACAATTCATTCTTGAGACAAGAAGTTACTTATTCTAATTTCAAGCCTTCAGAAAGAATTCCACTGGCATGAAGAGAGAATTTTGTCTGATTTATTGTAAAATATCTACCAAAAAAAGAAAACACACAGTCTTCTTGAGTCTGGACCTAGTATCTAACATACATACAAAACGTCAATTGTTTAGAATATATATATATGTATTTAAATAATGTTTAGTTTAAAAATTAATATACATAATAAAGGAAACTAACTTCTACCTCAATATAAGAAGTTATCTAGGGCTTCAGTAAACAGTGGATGTGGATATGTTTTTAAAGTTTTGAAATTGAATGATATTAATCAGCCACCCAGAAAAATGAATAATTGAATTTTTGGAAAAAGAGTTACTTTAGATTAAAAATAATAATATTGGCAAGATACATTAAAAATAAAAATCTTACATAGACCTACTTTACTGTGACATTTTGGAAAAAAGAGTTGGAAAATTATTCAATCACAATAAATGAGTTGAGCTCTGAGATAGCATGGGTGCTGGTGGGTGAAAACTTGACTTGTTAAGAGTCCATTATATCCCCTTTGCTATACTTAGTGACAGGACTAGAAAACAAAGTGCCTTGCTTCAAAGTACTGCAAAATGACTCACCTCTTTTTATATCTTATTTTCATTATGTGTTTGTATTTTATAACAATAACCACATTTTGCCATCTACTGAGTTTTTATGCTCTTTTTAGTTGCTTTCAAGACTAACAAACAGACATTTTTCTAATACCAGTGAAAAGTTCAAGAAATACCATCTAAGAGACAGTTTTTTATCTCTAGTTTCTACAATTGTTGTGAATAGATTTATGGATAGTTGCATTTATTATATTTTCAAAAATAAAAAAATTGAGATTTTCATGTCTGGGTATTACATGAAATTAGATGTGCTGGGAGATAATTATGCAATCTGAAAACAATTATACTCAGATTCTGATCTTAGCAAAATATAATAAGGTAGTTGTTGGTCCTGTTTCTCACTTGCAGGTAACATAAAGATGGCCCATTAAACTAAACAATGAGGCTAAGGGTTTAGAACAAATTGGCAGAAGATTGATAATTATTAAGTCTACTCTCTCTTAGATTTTAGTGCAATCACTTCTTTCTATTCTGCAATCTGGGGCAAGACATCTTAAGTTTTTAAAGCAATATTAAAATAATAAGCAGGAAAGAGTTATTACAATACTAAACATCATCTACAAGATGTGTTATACACAACTGTAGCTATGCCCAGCTACGGACAACGAATGCCCAGGTGTGTTAGCCACAATTTGATAACAATAGAAGTAAGGCAAGGCATCTGTTACATTGTCAAGCCAGCATATGTAGTTATTCTGGTACATGTTACAAAATTACAAGAGAATAGCTTTGACTCTTGAAGTCAATATTCACTCGTTCTTACAATGCAACTGAGAGAGATAATTACTACTTAGTAATTTCTCCCCCTTCCCCCTCCTTTGTGTCTCTGTCATTACTTCTGCAATTATTTAGCATGAATACTGTCATACATGTTGAGATTTCAACATGTCCCATTTATCTTAAACTTTCTTTCTCCAGAAATGATGTCACTTATATGTTATCATGTACATTATATTGTTTTATCTGCTTAGAGAACTTATTGTCATATAGATTTCAACTTCATTTTGATAGAATGCTAGAAGAATCATCAGAGATTTCTTTGGAAAGAAGGCAAAAAGGCAGCTTGCATGCACAGCAGATTTCATTGCTTTTCTTATCATAACATCATTTTTACTCTACCATCTTTTCAACCGGCAGAGTTATTAGTACTTATTATCACAATATGTTATCAAAACAGCTCATTTATTTTAAAGTTTTTCACTTCATTTAACCAACATTTGGAGAATTTTTATTATACTTCATTTACTTTGAGGGTCAGAGAGAAATTTTGCTCCAAAAACAAGAAAATGTTAACAATAATTCTCAAATATTTCTGATTTCTCAGGATAAGTAAACAGAACGTAGAATTAAGAGGAAAAATAAACATAGGAAGCTGAGTTGTGTAGAAATGGCAAAATGTTGAACCAGGGTGACTCCTACCAGAGTCTGAGCAGTCAGTTTGCCTACATGAAGTCCGTCTTTCAATGCCCCTGCCATTTCCCGGGGGGAGCTGCAGAGCCAGTATGGAGAGGCCCCCACTTGTGATTCCAGATATCTAAGTATTGCATTTAAAAAGGGTGGAAGCTCTTTGAACCCATTTCACAACATAGAGTTCCTGCTTACATATGGAAAGAAAAATGTAAAGGATATTTAAATAGAAACACAGAGTTCCTGTTTATTGGGTGTTATCTATAACTTTGTAAGGTTGGCCTTATTATTTATATTCACAGATGAAGAAACTGAAGCGTAAGATTAAATGAATAACTTGTCCAAGTGGACACACTGGTATGGAGGCAGAATTCAAAGATAAGTTTGTCTGTTCCAAAGTCCTAGCACATAACTGCTAAGCTAAATATTAATAATACATATATGAGAAAGTGTGCTTTTCTCTCAGGGATCCAGCCAATAATAATTTAAAGCCTATATTCATTCATAGGGAAGAAACATACTTTTGAAACTATAAAGAAGAAAAAAAGCAAGCATCTTCATTCCTCTCTGAAAAACAACTCAGTATTGGAGACAGAGAAGACTCACCTCTCTAAACATCCCCAAATGAGCAGAGACCAGAGTCCAGTTATGATAAATACATGTCAACTACACAAGCTCCTCTCACCTTTAAAGAGTTCCAATACTAACAGAGAATAATTCAGGAGAGACTAAGTGATCCCCTTTCCCTTGTGATCACAAGAAACTGTAGACACTTATTAGAACATTTTTTTTAAAGACAGGGTCTTGCTCTGTTGCCCAGGCTAGAGTGCAATGGCACAATAATAGCTCACTGCAAACTCAAATTCCTGGGCTCAAGTGATCCTCCACCTCAGCCTCCAGAGTAGCTGGGACTACAGGCACCCGCCACCATACCCAGCTAATTTATTTTATTTTATTTTATTTTAATTTTTTGTAGAGGCCGAGTCTCACTATATTGCCCAGGCTGGTCTCAAACACCTGGGCTCAAGCAATCCTACTGCTTTAGCCTGCCAAAGTACTGGGATTATAGGCACAAGCCACCACACCCAGCCAGAACATTTTAATGAAAAAGTTTTTTTAATATTTAGTGCTCCTTTGTTATCATCAATATTAATACATAGGGTGTGGTAGTTATTCCATGTGCTATTTCTTCCATTAAGATATAAGTGCTCTTAACATAGTTGGATGTGCTTTGAGAAATAAGCAGCAACAATGAACAGACAAAATGACTCAATAATTGATTGGTAAACACCATGTAACTATGGAATAATTACATGCCCTGTGAATTATACAGTACTTATAGTTGATGTTATTTAGGAAACCTAAGAAATGAGCTTGTAATTTGTACTTATCAGATTTGAAGTCCAAACAACCAGTTAAGTATCCTGTTATTATATCGAAGTATCCTATCATTAGATACCTGGTCAGTAATAATCACCCAATTAGTTGCACATGTCATAGCCAAAAGCAAAATGCAATTATAATATCACTGGGACATCAAGAAATAATTTCTCAATTTAGCACGTTTAGGAATAAAAACATGCATTTAAATGTAGTGCCTAATTCATGCATGCAATCATCCAATAAGTGTTCCCACAGTTATGGGAAGAAGGGGCTTGACTGGCTGGCTCCTTCTCATTATCCAGATCTTTTACAACTCAAATGTCAGCTCCTCAGCAAGGCCCTTCTTGGTCTTCATTTTTAAAGCCATTTCTACCCCAATCTACACCTCCAAATACCCTCTATCATATTTCTGTGCTTACTGTCATCATGTCACTTTTCTCTCTCTGAAATTAATTAATTATTTTTTAAAAATCTCTCTCTCCTCAGTAGAGTACGACCTTGTTTTCTCTTCATTAGATTAGACGCGTTTTCTATTAAATAACTGTCTCTATTAGGAAAGTAACCATGTCTGTTTGTTTGACACTATAATCCCAGTGTGTGGCCTTAGTAGGCACACAGTAACACACTAGAATTTATGTTGGTGAATAAATGAGTCACTGAGGACTTATGCAAGGCACTTAGAACATAAAACAAGACAGATTCTCTGCCGCGTGGGTCTTGCATGCCACAATACTGAATTACTGTGTCATGCACTTTCAAAGTATTTTCCAAAGCAGGTATCATATTTAAAAAAAAAAAAAGAACTAAGTTTAATACTGAGTTTAAATAGACAGTCATGCTTAATGCTACCATACTGTCTTAACCTGTTCTTGTCCACTTTGCTTCACATGAATGTACTTTGAATTGTTTACCAACTGTTTCTGACTGTGTACATTTATTTCTACAGACAACAACATTAATTGGTCTTCTGAAGACTGCCCGGCTCCTCCGTCTTGTGCGCGTGGCCAGGAAACTGGATCGATATTCAGAATACGGCGCTGCTGTTCTAATGCTCTTAATGTGCATCTTTGCCCTGATTGCTCACTGGCTGGCTTGCATTTGGTATGCGATTGGGAATGTAGAAAGGCCTTATCTGACTGACAAAATCGGATGGTTGGATTCCTTAGGACAACAAATTGGGAAACGTTACAATGACAGTGACTCAAGTTCTGGACCATCCATTAAAGACAAATACGTCACAGCACTTTATTTTACCTTCAGCAGTTTAACCAGTGTAGGATTCGGGAATGTGTCTCCTAACACGAATTCGGAGAAAATCTTTTCAATTTGTGTCATGTTGATTGGCTGTAAGTAGCTTTCTCTTCTGTTGTCTATTAGGATAGAATAATACCTTGAAATTAATATTTCTAAAGTATTTAGAGTCAGGCAAAGAAAAAATTACAGAAAATTGAGGAGATAATGGGATTACATATATGGGGACTGTATTCCATCAAATCTGATTCTCTCTGTGAAGTGGAGACACCAAAAAGGTCTTTCTGAACCTTAGGGAACTATGGGCATAAAATTGGAGCAACATGGTTTCAGGAATTGAAACTTGCAGTCCAGTGTTACTGCTATGAAAAGAGTATCTGTAATTTATTACCAATGGTTATTTTCTATTTCAAGCTGAGGCTAGATTAGAATGGGAAATTCTCATTTACACTACGTGATAGGTAGATAGATAGATAGATATAAAAAATGTTAACCATATATATCATCACAACAATTATTCTGTAAACTAATCTTTCATATACATGTGTATGTGTATATATAATATATATTATACATATAATGACCTAT